CCCCCCCCCACCTCCCTCAAGCAATAAATAATGGTAATTGAACTGAGTGGAGTGCAATTTGAATAGGTAATCACATGATTTCGAGTGCAATTTGGAATAAATAAGCACAAGTACATTTTTTCAAAGACTAACAACATTGCATGAGCCCTTAGGGTGAGTGTAATTTGTGGTCTTTGAAAAAATCTACAAGTGCTTATTTATTCCAAATTGCACAAGAAAATCATGTGATTATGTATTAATAATATACATGAAAAAATACGAGGTAGCTTCTCATAACTACACAGAAGAAAAACCTGCGCATCAGGTGCAAAAAATAATTTATTCAAACCCTGCAAGTGACATTGACCTTGACATTGACATTGACCAATCATTCTGACCAATCAGAATGTCTGGTTTTTTTCTTTCTTTGCACTGAATTAACCCTCTTCTACACTGAATTAACCCTCTACTGCACTGAATTAACTCTCTTCTGCCCTGAATTAACTGAAAGCTACATTCATCCGTTAACCAATCAGAACTGAGAAACTTTTTCATGTATATTATTAGGGCTGAAAACACGCATGATTTCAAAATCGAACGAGCGCACAGCGCGAATTCGATTTGAAATCACAAGTATGATTTCAGAGCTAATAATATATATGAAAACATTTCTCAGTTCTGATTGGTTAAGATGAATGCAGTTTTCAGTTAATTCAGTGCAAAGAAAGAAACAAACCAGACATTCTGATTGGTCAGAATGATTGGTCAATGTCAATGTCACTTGCATATTCAGTGCAAAGCAACAAACAAACCAGACATTCTGATTGGTCAGAATGATTGGCCAATGTCAATGTCAAGGTCAATGTCACTTGCAAGGTTTGAATAAATTATTTTTGCGCGTGATGCGCGCGCTTTTCTTCTTTCTAGTTATGAGAAGCTTCCTCTTATTTTTTCATGTAGATTATTAATACGTAATCACATGATTTTCTCGTGCAATTTGGAAAAAATAAGCACTTGTAAATTTTTTCAAAGACCACAAATTGCACTCGCCCTACGGGCTCATGCAATTTTGTTAGCCTTAGAAAAAAATTTACTTGTGCTTATTCATTCCGAATTACACTCTAAATCATGTGATTACCTATACAAAACTGCACGACACGAGGTTCAGTTACCACTTTATTACATCCATTTTGAAATTTGGCCAAATACAGGACTTGGTCAATTCAAATAATTTACTGATGCAGTACTGAGCCACTTTTCAGACAAAAAGCAGAACCAGAAATGCTTTTATATCTTATTTTGTATACAAAACAGAAAGACTTTGACGTCATGTGTCAAAAACTCAGTCAAGAATAAAATGATGCGATTTAGAGCAAAAAATGGTGTGATTCCTGAATAAATCACTCCAATTAGAGCCAATCACGGCAAGAGTTCCATATAACCCCATACATTAATTATGCAAAGAGTGTTGCAAAGAAACCTTTCTATTTAGTCTTAGTGAAATGGAATGCATAATTAGTGTATGGGGTTACATGGAACTCTTTCCTCAATCAGATTACCGGGACCACCAGTGATTTCAAAATTGATGTAATAAATCACTACAACAACTGCAGTTTTCTGAATGTTCCAAGGATTCTTACCTAAATCGCATAGGGGGAGAGAGAACTGTTTATAATAGGGTTTTAAAGCGTGTTCATTTGCGACTTTCGTTAACGATAATTTATTAAAACTATATAAACGAATTACCGTAACGCTCTTGACTCTGTGGACATCAGACCTACGACTTTTAAATTACCTTTGCTTAGCATGTTCTTGCATATCAACAACATCTGACCGCCAAATGACGTAGTGCGTGTTTTGTTTATAGTGTTCATTATACACTCTCTTCAAGAAGTCAGACAGGTTCACTCGTTCGGCTTCTGCCGAGAATTTGCAAACCAAAGGCGTGCCGACGTTGCTTCCAGTCCTGCCTTTATTACCATCACCCTTGCCACCCTCGCAGGAAGGCTCCTTAGTAACAGCTACCATAAGAGTGATAAAACCCGCCAAAAACAGCAACGAAGCTATCACCAAAAGCACCCAAACCCAGAGAGGAATGGTGTGCTTCTCAAAAGGACGAAAGCTGAGCTCCTTCATCTCTAGCTCAGAGGATGTGGGAGAAGATCCCAGCATTTCCACCTTGTCGACATCTTTCTTCATCGAGACGGTCCCCTCCATTGCGATTAAAATTGAAGTACAAAATCGATGCAATTCTTTGTGACCTTCGTAAAGAAAACGAGGATCAGGCGCAGGAGTGCAAGCGCTCACGTCTCCAGTCAACGCATGGTTGGGTTCAATCCCGGGCAGTGGTGGGGGCCTTTTGCATCACGTGACTTTCAGTGATGGAAAGAGTAATTCAAAGTGTCCGACCTTTAAATCCCAGAATCTTACTATCTTACTTCATTAACTTCTTTTTTTTTTTGGGTGGGGGGGGGGCAGATTTCTTTGACTTGTGCGACGAAAAAAAGCAACGTTCGTACGAGTTAAAAATAGAAAAATTCCACTGAGATAAAAATAGATCACAGACTTGTAGAGTCCCCTTACATGCGATACCTAATAACGGAGGGTCCACTATACTTTTTACTTGAAACGTGATTGAGCGATTTTTTTCCTCGTAAATCGTGATTTAAATTTTTTTTTATTCGTGAATCGTGATCGTCTCGAATTTTGCATGAACACGAAAGACTTTAGGATATTATTTGTTATGCGTGAAAAGGCCAAATATTTTTAGGTGACTGAGTTTACAAAGGGGTATAGGGCACGACCCTCTACACAGCGATCGTAATAAACAATTTGTTAGCACATACAACACCTAGCTTTGAAGTTAAGTGGTCATAGTAAATTAAACCTGGCTAGGATTATTTTATGGTATAGTCTACAAAAGAGAGTCAAAGTATGTACTTAAAATTCTTTTAGGAAAAAGAGGAGGAACTGAAAACCCGCCAAACTTCCTCCTGATAAATCGACTTTATAAACCCATCTAATTTTTTCTTACAGTAGCACCCGTGAATAACACTGTAAGATCACAAGAATAAGGGAAATGATCACAAACTAAAGAACCTCTTTGATTGTTAAGCAAATTCTCCTTGTCAGCACCTTGGGAAACGTATAGAGAACAGTACGGAGAATATGCATACTGATGTTAGGGTGTAAAAGGTTTAAGACATCGACTGTGCTAGATCGAGTTGTTTCAAATCAGACCAAAGTGGGGTTACTAACACTTTTTATTACAATTCGGCAATGAAAACTGACTTTTAGTCCATCGACCTCCATCGTTTGTCTAGGTAAACTTTACTGTCGTCTGTTTCTCTCCCTTTGCCATTAGGGACCTTAAGCAGTCAGGACGGCAACGCCAAGGAAGACTTCGAATAAAAAATGAATTTCTACTCTTAGTTAAACTTTTAAAAATAGCTGCATGAGCTTACTGTCTCATACGACGCCACAGCTCAACTTCAGCAGGACGTATAAAAGCAGGGTTGAGTTCCAAATGGAGATTAAAATAATTTGCCGTCGCGGTTTCGGTTCGCAGACGACGCAAATTTTGACGATTTCACGTTGTTGTTTTGCATAGGACGGCTAAGAAATGTACAAAGTTTCAAAATGCACGTGCTGAGCTATTGTTCTGCCAATTAGATGTCTTGTTTATCCCCGTCCTCGTTGCCGTCGCCGTCGTGGTTGCTTAAGGTCCCTACTTTGTCATTTAAAGTCCTTCGCTGAGGCAGATCCTGTCTCTTCCCCAAGAGACCGGTAAACTTCAAAACGGTCGAGAATTAGAGTGATAATAGGATTACTTTTCCAACAAAAATTGCAGAAAAAAATGCCTCATCCATTGCCCAGAAGTGATTGGTTAAAAGATTATTATGCTCAAACCTTCCTCATTTATTAAGCTTTTCAATCTCTCACAAGTAATTAACTAGGATATTTTGTTTAAATTTATAACCTAGACGCTCATGACTTGCCGACAAACATCAGTTGCGGGAGTAACCCTTCGGGTCTTGGGAATAAAGTCCTTTTTTAAATCTCTTACCAACACGTTCAAAATTACTCTGTCATTATCAAAAGCTGTTTTGTTTTAGGGTGCGGCTTGAGAGCTTCGGAAATAGCCGTCTTGAAATTCTTTAAGGAATGCTTCTTGCAAGGAGGGGACGTTAACTGACCATTCTGTACCATTTCGCATACTTCTTCCATCATGTTTAGTTTAATGGCATCTGCAAAGAATAATAAGCACGGGCTAACAGACGCAGAAAAATATATCTGAGGGAAGTTGACCATTTCATTTTCCAGTAACGAGGCACCAGTCATTATTTATCGCCAAGCGAGGAGGGAGGGGGAGGGGAAGGAGGATTTTGGGGGGGATCACGTGGTTTTCAGAGGAGATGGAGAGGGATCCGTCGTCGCTAACAGAGTAAAAAGTAAGGACTATAGAAAAATCGACTGCCAATGATGGAGAACCATAAGAAAACGTCCAACCCTCCCTCCCCCTCCCAGGTGACAAATATAGACCTGTCCCTGAGTTCTACTGCAAGTGATCGGCCGGGGTTTTTCATTTCTAATCACGAGAAAATATCAGTATAGACATTCTTAAGTGAAAAATCGTCCTTTAATTTAAATGTTCTCCAACCGGTCTTTATACCTTTAAAAATGGTAACCGTATGTAAGTTTGTCCGCCCGTTTGACATTTTGAAACATGTTTTCGTCGTAGTTTGTCAATCTTGAAAAATCATTTTACAATCCGTGTTGATAGTCTCCATCGTAGTTCCTTTAGGCTCTTTCCTTACCTATTCATTGTTAACCAGCCCTATGTTTTATTCTTTTTATTGTATGCTATTTATTCCATCGTCTTCGTGGCCAAACAATTCTAAAAGTTGTTAAGTCTTCACTGCTCTTAACATCGTGTTTCCTTAGTCCGCGAAGCTTGAGGTTTTGCGCGCGCTATGAAGCACCGCCTAAGTTTGCTAAACCTGCCCTTTATAAACTTTTAAATGTACTAAGTAAAGAAGGCTATTAAAAGGAATCTTAGATAAAGTTGTCAGATTCTTTTTCTCGGCAAGTTCTTGGTCTGAGAAGCAAGGGAGGGAAAAAAGGATTAGCGGCCATTCCCCTCTCCAGTACGTCTCTTCCTAGATTTTCCATCCCTACCCTCATCAGTGGTGAATCACGTCTTTCACTTCCCCATACCTCTCCCCTTAGTAGGAACGTAGACTCAATACCTTTCTGATGCTCGGCATTCCAGTGGGACATCCAGAATCCTCTTACATTTACGTCATCAAATATCAGGGAGCCCTAAAGACAAGACATGTATAACTAAACAATTATAACAAATTCACTGCATTGCACTCTCGGTCGGTGGAGGGGATCGAAAAGCCAAAGAGCTTGGCCAAGACATACTAAATGTGGGTTTAATGCGGCTTATGGTCTGGTTTTGTTATTGTACGCTTTACTCGTCCTCCATCGTGTTCTCGGCGATGGCAACAAGTTATTCCGAGGCGTGATATATGTTCGAGAGAAAGAAAAAGACGAACAACTTCTTATTAGTTTTCTTGAACTACAAGATGCTTGAAAACTTGGAACTTATACTCCCAAATAGCTGGGCTAACGCTGGAAGATATAGAATAA